AAGGAAATTTGATTATTTCTAAGGCATACAACGTTTTAAGATAACAATTGGAATTACGATGATTATATGGACAGTAAGGACACTGACAAATTTCCAGGAATTTTTACGCAATTTTGAAATACTTATATTAGTAACATATATCCATACAAATATAACCTAAGTTAAACATCACTTTTATTTGACAATGCTTCTCATGTAACTTAACATATCAAATAAGCCTAATTAGTTTCATATCACTATTTTTATAAGGAGAGAGAACAAATCTTTGATATTTTCTGGGGGCCCTCTGGAAAAATCCCAAAGTTGGTTCTAGGTCAAAAAGACTTCATTTAAAATTTGACTTTGAGAGGTTCTCAAATATGTCAACAGGTTTAAGACACTTGATTCAACGTGATCACAAGTCACTGTGAAACAATACTTAGTTGTCTCTTTTTTTTTAAGTTATCTCTAACTAAAGTGACTTAAAAGATTTCAAAGGCATGTTCAGAAATTTGCATAGTTATAAAAAGACTTTAGTTCTTTTAATATTGAGAAGACTCAGTTTTCTTGAGTAATCAAAGAGCTGATTAAAACAACATGAAATACAGGAAATTATTTTGATAAGTGCAGAATCTTTGTTTTCTAGGCAGATTATTCAACAGGTAAAGAAAAATCTTTTGCAATAATCCAAGAAAACCTTGTCCTTTTAACAGAGTAAGAAAGTTGAATTCCAGTTTTGCATAGGCACACTGTTGATATTAAAAATCCTTTTTTAAAAAACAAAAATCTTATCGTAAATTCATTTAACTTTAGCCAGCTTGACCACACAACGTAAGACTTTTTTCTCTCTCTTCTCCAACTTTTTATAACTATTTATTTTTTTGTCCTTTATTCTCCTTAAAAAAAATGAAACAACCATTAAATAACCTCTAAACTAGGACAAAATTTTTCCCTTAACAAAAACACATCTTCATACCTTATACTTTTTTTTTTTACCAAAATCATATCTTGCATCCTTGCATACTTTGTATATAGAGATTTTTTCTTTACCCTTTTTATTTCTAGTAGTTTCACTTACATGTAAGACTAGAATTCTTAACCCTTAGTAATTAACATCTAGTGAAAACTAGGAGGTAGGCAATGGTGAACTGTTTGTCGCATACAACATTCTGTAGTAGGTGAGCAAACACTAACAATGAGAAAGATAACCCACAAAATTAACTGGGAAGTGGATTTACTGCCACTGAAATGCAAACAGTAGAACATGCTTTAAAATGGATACAAAGTACATTAAAATCTTCAAGAGATAAATGATAGACTAAGAAATTATAAAACAAGTGGGCACATATGAGTCAAGAACAGATGGTAACACAACCAATCAGCAACCCTGAAGAAGGAAACTAGTCACTGCAGTAACTCAGTAGAGGATGTTAATGCCAGCTGGCCTCAGCCAAAGAGAGGATGAATGAGCTGGACAGCAGGACTGAGGAATTCACCCAGGAAGTGGAGCACAGAGATAAAAGGAAAAAAAGACAGAAAAGAGAAGAGAGCTGGAGGACATATGAGAGATTGACAGACTCCAGCTGTAGTAGCAGTCCTAGGAAAGAGAATAAAGGAAATGGTTGAGAAGTGAGCACATAGGGTAGGGGGACCCTGGAGGAAGAGAACCAGATGCAGCTTTTTGACAGAAGAGAAGCCATTTTAGCCGAAGCCATTTTGGGATCTAAGCCTGGCCACCATGCTTGCCCTTGAACAGGTCTCTGTAATTAATGATCTTAAGGGAACAAAAGGAGGTGGGAACAAATGACTGTCATCAGCAAGAGAAGTAGAAAGAGTGAAGATAATAAATCATTTGTAAAGACTCCCAGTTCTGTTCAGTGATAAAGATTAGCCTGAAGGCTCCACCCTGAGACCAACTGGAACCTCAGGGGTGATAATGTTGACCTTTTCTGACCCTCGTGACCTCAGTCAACTAAAACTTGGACTCTGGTGACCTTTGCCCCAATTCTATGCTGAAGCCCCTTCATGAATATGCATATTCCCTTAGCTTAAAACGTTCCCAATTTGCTGTTTGGAGGGACACTGCTTTGGGAAATATCCCTGATGTTCTCCTTACTCACTGCAAGTGATAAATCCTTCCTTCTCCCACTCTTTGTCTTGGTTGTGTCTTTTGGCTCGACACCCACCAAGAGGTGAACCCAGTTTTCAGGTAACAGTGATATTAGAGAATTACTAAGCATTTTACAGAATAAAAAAAGACAGAAATGAGTGTTCAGTTTGAAAACAGACAGTGATGATTGAGCAAAATGTGTAAATATGTCAGTCAGACCCATCACAGTGAAGTTGAGGACGTCAAGGGACAAGAGCAAGGCTGCAATCACTCAGGGAGGAAGGGGGGCGGCAGTTGGCGAGGATGCTGTGAATTGTGAGGTGCAGGCTGTGGACTCCGTGGGATGCAGAGGGGTTCCCTGTGAGCCTGGAGCAGCAGGCATGGCTTTGCTGATGAAGAGCTGGGAGGCTGGAGAGGACCAAAAGACTCCCGGCAGGCAGATCAGTGAACAGAGGTCCACATGGGGGTTTTGGGGGGACTGCCAGGAGGGAAAAGTCTGCCCAAATTTGACCTTCACTTTTTCCGTTATTCAGGTTTACAGCTGGAATAGTTTTATTAGACAGATTCTGCATTTTCTACACGGCGTTGAAGTAGAACTAGTTACATTAGTGAAAATCAACTACTCTTGGTGTCCTTCAGGACTATGCATGTAATTATTCAGTAAATACTGGCTGGACCTGGTCTTGTTCTGTGACAGGCACAGCTTAGGCTCTCGGGGACCTGGGACATAGGAAGACCAAGTCCCAGTTGTCATGCGGCTCATGTTCAAGTGAGTCAGATGATAATTATTAAGAAAGCAAATAAGAGAATATTAGTGACAAGAGACTAACAGAGTGTACTGGGTCAGATAGTGGCCCCAAATCCATGTCCTCCTGGAACCTCAGAATGTGACCTTGCTTGGAAGGAGGACCTTTGCAGATGTAATTAGTTAAAATCAGGTCCTACTGTCTGGGGTGGTCCCCAAAGCCACTGCCTAGTCCTTCTTAGAAGAGGCAGGGATACACCTAGGAGACGGGCACAGGTGGCAGGGATGCGGCTACGAGCCAAGGAACACGAGCATTGCCAGCCACGCCCCCCCCCCCCCCCCCAGGGAAGAGCAGGAAGGACCCTCCCCTGGAGCCTTCAGAGGGGGTGTGGCCCTGCTGACACCTTGAGTTCTAACTCCAGAACTGTGAGCCTTTGAACTCCTGTTGCCCTGAGCCACCCAGCCCCGTGGCACTTGGTTCCGGCAGCTACAGGAGCATAGTACACAGGGATTGAAAAGTTCCTGCCCTGTCCTTGAAATGGCCCTCGTTCTTGACTTTTCACGTGTTGAACTTTTGTCCCCAACTGCACAGTAGCCCGTGGCACTGATTCAGGAGGAGGCCAAGCCTGGAATTCTTCCTTCCCTTTATCGCTGGGACCTTGCTTCCCAGTGGTGAAGGTCATAAAGCCCCATGTTTTGAAATCAAAACAAGTTTGTGCTCTGAACTTCAGCTTTAGAAGATAAGATTTAAAGGAGTATCTAGGTAAAAAGCAGACGTGTTCTCTGGTGACAGCTCCGTTGGGACCAGTCCTGCCAGAACCCTGTCCTCCTCTCCCGCCCCGCTGAGGCGCCTCTGCTCCTCCCTGGTCACCCTCCTGCGGCTCTAAGTCTGGGTCTCCCTGCCTCTCGGGTCCCACTGACCTCAGCCTCGCCGTCCCGGTCCCCTACTCCCTCATTCTGCCACCGGAACGCCCCGAGTTCACCTCTTGTGCCCTGAGATCATTCAGTCACTCCTACAGGTATTTTAGATTTATTCTGTTAGCACTCTTATGCAAAAATCCCTCAAAAGAGATTTAGAAGAAGGAAAAGGGGGCGGCGGCTGTGGTGTAGCCTCAGCCAGGAGCTCTGAAGATCTCAGGTTCACCCCAGGTTTGGGCTCCAGGCCGCTCGGGATGGACACCCTCCCCTCTCGGAGCGGGAGCCCTGGGTTCCAGGGGCGGGATCAGAGCCACAGGCTCGCCTCTGAGGAGTTCCCCGTCCAGCTCTAAGTGGTGACGGCGCTCTCACCGTTTCAGACCCTCCGCCCCGACTCGGTGGGCGTGGCTGCCTGTCTGCGGGAGAAACAGCAGAGGGGTCTCTGGCGAGTTCAGTCCCTCCTCTGCTCCACGCATTTGTCTCTGTGCTGCCCCTGTTTCCAGAAGACAGAGGCTCCAGAGGCAGTGAGCCCCGGCGGTCCCTCAGGCTGATGTCAGGAGGGGCCCAGGTCCCTGGCCAGACGGGAAAGGTGGCCTCGCTCACTGGCAGGCCAGTCCTGGTCCCCGCAGCCTGTGCAGGCGGCCGGCTCCCCACTGGCCAAGACCACAGGCGGTGGAGAAACACGCACGCCCCCGCCGTCAGGAGCCGGGTCTTTGGACTGGCCGCCTGCCGCCCCGGATGGAGCATTCCGGAGCCCCGGGCCTCGAAGGGCCGGCGGCTGTGGGAACTGACCTCGGGCCCTTCCTGGCGGCACGTGGTGGTGCTTTGTGCCCGTTTCAGAGCCTGTGCCCCCTGCCCGCAGCGGGCCGTCGGCCATAGAGAGGGCCAGAGCCTGTTCTCAGCTCCACGTGCGCCCCGGGCTGGCGCCCGGGGCCTCCTCCGTGCCCGCTTCTGGTGACCTCTGCCCTCCGCGGCCCTGCCGAGCCTGTGCTGGCGTCCCAGCCGCCTGTGCGGCGTGCGGGTCACCTCTGGGTCTGGGAGTGAGGCTCGGCCACTGACCTCTCCTCTCTGGGGTCAGACTCGCCCGGCAGACCCCACGAGAGGATGGTGGACACGCTGCAGTTCTTGGGACGTTCTGGGGCGTTCCGCTCCTTGAAACTGCCTCCTTGGCCCTGGTGTGAGTCCAGGCTGCCCTCTGAGAGCCACGCCCTCACCAGCCTGCAGGACTGGTTAACCTCAGCAGGAGCCGCTGGGCTCAGTTCAGAGCCGGCAAGGGAATGAACACAAGCCAGAAAGGCCTGTGTTTCGGTTTGGAATTTTTGTTTTTAATCCTCTCGTGCTGAGATAAACGAGGCTAACAAAGCATTTGCCTGTGTTATAAAATTCATCAGAGCAGACACCGGCAGAGCGACCTCTGTAAAGGTCACGCCAAACTCTGAAGGACTTGGTAAGCAGAATTCTTGGCATCCAGGTTGACACTGGCACTAAAGCTTCTTACGGGCGGAAAAGGGTTTGGCTGATGGGCCATTGTATGTACCCTTGGCCCAGGCTGTGTGGGGTGAGAGCGCTTTCATTTTCTATTCTTTATTCGGTTCAACATCAGAAACTAACAACCACCCCAGGCTCCTTCTGAGATGCCTGCTGTTTTTGTGGCAGGAGATAGAGAAGTGTCATTGGTTGAGGCAGCCCATGGGATCTCAAGGCCACTGTCAGCTAGGTACACGGGTCACCTAACTGTCTCCAGTTGTTGGCTGGGGCTGGGAGAGAGCAGAGTGACCACTGAGGCCTGCGTCCAGTGGGAGGCGAGGCTTTGAGGAAGTGAAGCTCTTTGGATTAGGGGAAGGACGGGGTGGGGGATGGTTACACCGCAGAGGTGTGGCCTGACTTTGAGAAGTCAGGAGGTCCTTACATTTAAATGTAAGTACTCAGCACAAGGGCACGTGGAACTTCGGTTCCCAGTCTGAGAACAACCAGCTGGAATTAACAGGAGCCTCTGGAGCAAAGGAGTTTCCTCTGCGAGGCCCTGCAGCCCAGGCTGGGCCACCGGCCCCCCAGGAGGACACTGAGACATGGGCTTCCGTCTCTGCTCCCTGACCCTCACCCTCACCCTCACCTTGCCTTCTCCAGCGACTGCTCCTTCCTGCGAAGGCCAAGGCCAGGAATACCCTTTCTAAGTCCCCAGGGTTTTGTTGGGTGATTCGTTCAGGTCAAACATGACTATAACCCAAGAAAAGAAACAGAACGATTAGGAACACAAGAGACCCGGGAGGAGACCAAAGGATGCCCAGGGGCCCCACCCGGGATCCTAAGAGCAGGATGAGTGCCCACAGCTGGTCTCTGCGGGCCTGACGGCGAGTGGAGAGGGGAGATGGACGGGGGACGGCTCTGGGGGCGAGGGGTGCGGTGGTGCAGGCCCTGTGGGCAGGACCGCAGCTCCAGGAACAAGCCTGATGGAAACTCAGTCCTCAGGAAGGACTCTCGGTCCTCACAATCAAGGTTTTTCCTTCCTCTCCTTTTCCTTTGGCTTCCTTTTCCTCTTCAAGTTTTCCTTTCATATTTCATTGGAGAGGAGCACCAAGTAATTTTTTTAATTAATTATATTTATTTTGGCTGCATTGGGTCTTCGTTGCTGCACGCGGGCTTTCTCTAGTTGCGGTGAGCAGGGGCCACTCTTCGTTGTGGTGTGCGGGCTTCTCATTGCGGTGGCTTCTCTTGTTGCAGAGCACGGGCGCTAGGCACGCGGGCTTCAGTAGTTGCGGCACACGGGCTCAGTAGTTGTGGCTGGCGGGCTTTAGAGCGCAGGCTCAGTAGTTGTGGCGTACGGGCTTAGTTGCTCCTCAGCATGTGGGATCTTCCTGGACCAGGGCTTGAACCCATGTCCTCTGCATTGGCAGGCAGATTCCTAACCACTGTGCCACCAGGGAAGCCCCCAAATAATTTTTTAATGCAAATTGAATGAATGAAAAATAAAAATAACAGTTCAAATATTAATTTAGATGGATCGGCTGCAAAAAATTTCCTCCTCCATTTGCACGAACCTCATCGTCCTGCCACTGTGGGTCTGCAGGGGCCTTTTCCTCCTGGGTCCTCGCAGCCCCTGGCTCTAGGCTCTGCCCACGGGACTTAGCTGGCCTCAGAAGGTGAATTGGTAGCCGCGGAGGAGGACGGGGCAGATGCTGAACAGCTCACTGGCGCCATCTGCTGGACCAAGTGCTTCGTCCACTCACGGAGGAGCATGGCTCGCTTTGACCCTGATTTTACCCCCGCCTTAGCTTCCTTTATAGACATTTCTCATACTCAGTAATATATTTATATTGTTGAATGCTTACATTTATTATTTTTATAACAACTGTATTGCAATACAATTCATTTTCCTTACAATCCACCCACTCACAGTGTGCATTGCAATTCAGTGGGTTTTAGTACGTTCAGAATTGCACGACTGCCACAATCAAATTTAGAACATTCTCATCACTGAAAATGAATCCCCAACTCATCATCAGTCATACCCCATTTTCCCGCAATCCTCCCAGCCCTAGGCAACCACCAATCTACTTTTGTCTCTTAGGATTTACCTATCCTGGACACTTCACATAATTGGACTGATCCAACGTGTAGTCTTTTGTTTCTGGTTCTTTCACTTAACAGAAGGTGTTCAGGTTCTTTCGTACTGTAGCACGTGTCAATACTTCATTTCTTTTTATGGCTGAGTCATATTCCATTGTGTGTCTGTACCACATTTTGTTCATTCAGTCGTTCATTACTGGTCATTTGGATTGTCTCCAGCTTTGGCTATTACAAATAATGCTGCTGTAAACATACAATCACAAGTTGTTGTGTGGACGTATGTTTTCATTTCTCTTGGGCACACACCTAGGAGTGGGATTTCTGGGCTGTAAGATACGCTGCGCTTAATCGTCTGAGGAGCTGCCAGGCTGTCTCCAAGGCAGCCACACCATTTTACATCCCCAGCAATAGTGCACGAGGGTTCCAGTCCCTCCCCGTCCTCGCCAGCTCTTGCTGTCATCTGGCAGTTTGATTTTAACCATCCTGAGCGGTGTGAACTGTGGTCGTGTCGCGGTTAGATTTGCGTTTCCCTGGCGCTAACGATGTTGAGCATCTCTTCATGTGCTTTGGCCATATGTATGTTTTCCTTGGAGAAATGTCTATTCAAATCTTTTGCCCGTTTTTAATTGGGTTAATTTGTCTTTTCTTATTGAGTTGTAGTAGTTCTTTATATTCTAGACCCAAGTCCTCCCCTTGGCTCTGTTGGTGCCTGCAACTGGAGGCCAAGGGAAGAAGCAGCCTGAACCTAAGATGTCTCTAAAAACTAAAGTCTATTTCAGAAATGAACAGAGACAATCCAGAAGGAAGAGTTGGTTTGGAAGAAGATAATTAGTTTAGTCTGCAACCTGGAAGTCCTACGCTCTTCTGGACACAGTTTTTCTGCTCTGCACCCAGCCTGGAGCCTGCTGTGGGAGTCCAGAGGAGACTAGGAAGGGGTCACAGGGAGAGGGGGGAGGGAGGAAATGGGGTCTTGGGCAGAAGAAGGAAGGGACCCGTCAGGGATGGAAGCAGAGAGGCCAGATTGGTGGGAGGGAAAGAGGAGAAAGCCACGGACCCGGGGCTCCCAGGCAGAGACTGTGGCCAACAGTGTCCACATGATTGCCAGTCCTGCGATGTTATTTATCACAGCGTGGCTTGTAAGTTTCTTCTCAAGGTATTCTAACCTCAGGAGCTGATGGAAAGAAACCCTACAGCACTGCACAGGATTTTATTCAGTCCTTACTTTTCTAATATTTCATAAAGTGGTTAATCACACAAAGAAGCCTTGTTGCTGTTTTTTTTTGGTTTTGTTTTTAATTATCTCACGTTTTTCTCTCTTATAAATATTGCCCTTAACACCCGGGATGTAGGGAGCTGACTTAGCTTTATAGGAAGTGAACCCATAGGAAAATTGTGTCATAGGAAAAAAAATGAACAACAGCATTGCTTAAATACAAGCTTGTTAACTTGGTTTCTATCTTATTAAAATTCTTTAGCATTGCAAATGAAGGGTTTGGGTGAAGATATAGCAAAAAATATATTTCCCATTCTACTACCTTGTGTTATTTTAGTTCAGAAGACTGGAATCAGCTGTGTTGGATAACATTAACTTTCTTGAAGTATTTGAAAGGTGGAAAGTCCAAAACCTGGTCCTTATTTTAAAATATCCCCCTGTCACATGCTCACAGGCATCATCTCTCCTTGCTTTCCTGTTGCTGCTGGACGGAGGCATGTTCTCACCGTCCTCCCCGCCCACCGGGCTGCTAGAGAAGGTCTTCCAATACATCGATCTCCATCAGGATGAATTTGTACAGGTGAGAGACACGGCATGCACAAAATGCTTGCATATGCCCTTTGGGAATCTGGGAGAATGGTTATTTGCTGGGAGATGTGGATTTTTTTTTTTTTGCTTGACAACTCCATTTAAAATGCCTGTGACTCCTCATTGACTTAGAATAATAAATGTTGGTTAGATTCAGGTAAGAGATCCCTTCCGGCCATTCCTTCCAAAAAGGGCATTCCCAGCACATTTGATCTAGGAATGTCTGTTTAGCAATGATCAGCAAGCTCTGTTGAGCTCACCTTTACTCTGGACCGTCATCAGGTGGCCCATCCTCCCCTTCAGAGACCCTCTCCACCTGCAAAACTAGCTGAAATGCATCCTCCCCGTTCTGTCACCACCTGCCACGTCCCTCTCCTGCTGGCTCTCCTGTGCCCCTGGCACGCCTGGCCCACCTCCACCGCCCGGGAACTCCCTGAGGCCGCCCTGGACCCTGGACCCCGAGCCCCTGACACTGTGTCTGGCACATGATGTGTGTTCAGTGTACATTTATTGGGTCAACCAACCCGTGTCGGGACTATTACTGTGCAAACAGATGTGAATCCCCCATGATTCATACTAAAGCACAAAGCTCAGTGTACAGGCTGCAGTGCCTAAGCTTGACCTTCATGGAATCCTTCCTTGTGTGAGCATGTTAACTTGATGTAAGTGCCTGTTGGGATGTTGAAACCCGACTGGGGTTCGCAGTGCAGGCTGGAATTCACAGCGGGGAGAGAACAGGCATGCGGTGGGAGCATGCGCCAATGTGGGCCTCTCAGCCCAGCGCTGCTCTGTGCAGCGCCCTCATATCCTCCCAGTCCATTAAGTTTAGTGCTAACTTGGCAGCATCCGCCCTACAAATTCCCGTTTAAAAATGTAAAACACAATATTCCTTCAGATCAAATACATTTCTTCACAATAAAAATAGAAGTGCTACAACCAGGATAGAAATCAAACTAAAATAAGTTAGGAAGTAGAGTCCAAAATCACATGTAAGGTTTTTAATAAACACTGCGGCTGTCCCAGTGTAAGCGGCTCAAGTACGGACCCTGGAATGGGAAGGATTGTTCCTAACATTGAGAATCAGCAGTGGTTACGGAGCTCCCACGGGGCGAGGCTTCGGCCTGGGTCTCCCGTGTATACGTTCTCACTCTGTCCTCACCAAGAAAGACATGTTTCCTCTTCTGTCCCCAGAGTGTGGGTTTTCTGCACAACAAGCAAGTCTCCAGTTCTCTGTGTGCCCCCCCCCCGGTGTCCTGCGACGTGGCTCACCTCTGACACTGTCTTCCTGGAGGTAGTGTCACCCCTACCCCGATGCCGACCTCAGACGCCAGTAGCTGGTGGTGGGTCCCCAGGTTGCCCACACTTCTGCCTGACTCGGCTACAGATCAGGGCCTCTGGTGACCCCTCCTCAGGCTCATCATTTGCTAGAACAGCTCGCAGAACTCAGGGACACGCTTCTACACGTTTGCCCGGGGCGGGAGCTTCTGTCCTGTGGGTTGCAGGGCACCCCTTCCCAGCCTGGAAGTTCTCTGAACCCCGAGCCTCGGGGATGTTTATGGAGGCTTCGTCACGTAGGCATCACTGATTCTTAGCTCCGTCTCCAGCCCGTCGTCCTTCCCCCAAGGTGGGGAGCTGGGGCTGGAAGTTCTGAGCGTCTGATCACGGCTCGGTCTTTCTGGTGACCGGCCCACACGCCCAGAAGCCTCCAAACTTCCTCACTAGAACAAAAGCACGCTCCTTTTCACCCGGGAAATCCCAAGGGCGTTAGGAGCTCTGTGTCAGGACCCGGCGTCGAAGATCACATGTTAGAACAAGAGATGCCCCTAGTACCTTATCGCTTAGGAAATTGTAAACGTTTTAGGAGCGCTGGCCGGGAACCGGGGAGAAAGACCAAAGTGTGTGTGTGTTACTGTCTCACAGCATTACATCCACCATAATCCGCAGCGAGGGAGCCTCACGCCCCTCCTGCAGTGGAGGAAGCTGAGGCTAATTCCAGAGCTTCAGAAATGTCCTTGAAGTCACCCACCTGTAGTGGGCAGAACCAGGACCAGGAACTCGGGTTGTCTGCCTGCCCAGCCCTGAGTTCAAACCCGGGGTTACACCCCCTCCCGGATCCTGCAGGCGCAGCGGGGGGACCTCAGAGCTGAAATGCACGGGATGGTCACAGGGGGTCCTGCAGCCTAGCTGAGGCCACCGTGGGGTGGATCAGAGTGACCTGCAGGGACGTTTGTGGGAAGCCGAGCCCTCGTGGGGCGGCTGCTCTCAGTTCCTAGAGACCACAAGGGGGGCGGGGACCCGCGCCTTCTGTATGAGCCTGGTGGCGCTGAGGGGCCCAGGCCAGGCTTCAGAGGCGGCCTTCCACCAACCGTCCCGTCCTGCATTGACCAGCCATCGCTGGCTTCTGGGCTCCTGGTCACGCCCCCAGCTGTCGTCTGCCAGCTCGGTCTCCAGGTCAGATGAGGGCGCTGGGGACCCGGCGAGGTGCGCCCCCAAGAGTGGGCGCGGATGACCCGCGTGCTGACCGCCTGTCGCCTTTCCTCCCAGACGCTGAAGGAGTGGGTGGCGGTCGAGAGCGACTCGGTCCAGCCCGTGCTGCGCCTCCGACGAGAGCTGCTCAGAATGATGGACCTGGCTGCAGACCGGCTCCGGAACCTGGGAGCCCACGTGGACTTGGTGGACGCAGGTTTTCAGCAGGTGCTGGCATCCCCTCCCGCCTCCAAGCGGCCACTTCCCTGGGCATCAGCCAGGCTTCCCTTCGTGGTGGCAGGATGGGGGTTTGCTCGCCCTCGTGCTCAGCAGAAGCAGCACCGCGATTCCCAGTAAGGGCGAAGATCTCCACCTCAGCCCACAGGAGGCTGTAGCATCGGTCTCTCGTCCTGTCGGGACCGGGGGGGACGGGGGGAAGGTGGAGGGGGTGCGTGAAGGCCCCCCACTTGTGCTGTTCATGTCCTTCACGTGCTTCGCATTTCTCCCGGATGGCTCTTTCCCTTAAGTTCAAATGCCTCTTTCTCAAAGGACCCGATCCCTCGTCAGAATCAAGGCTTGTGACCGCCCCTCGGGAGTGGATGGGTCTTTCATCTACCCTCCCAGTGTCGCCTGCTCTAGCGCTGACGAGTCTGAATAGTCTGTTAACGGGACTGTGTCCACCTGATTGGAGCTAGTAACAGACTCCTAACGCCATCCATGTCTTTGAATTTTCTGGAAGAACCAAATGGCTTTTTATCCATTTTCCGTCTGCAGCTGCCTGATGGTCAGAGCCTCCCGACACCTCCCATCATCCTGGCCGCACTGGGGAATGATCCCAAGAAGCCCACCGTGTGCTTCTACGGCCACTTGGACGTGCAGCCTGCCAGCCGGGAGGATGGGTGGGTCACGGACCCTCACACGCTGACGGAGGTGGACGGTCAGTGACACCTCGTGCTGGGCTGTTCTGTGGGTGAAGGACTGCTCGTAGGGCTTAAGAATTCGAGACGTGACTGCCCCGGGCTCCAGGCCTTACCTGTCATTGTTAGGAGTGCAGAGAACGCTGATCTCATGGTCCACCGGTTGGTCCAAGGAGGCTGATTTTCTTTCAGTTGTGAAAGAAACCATGAACCTTTGTGCCTCTGGGCAGATCAAGTCCCCATTAGGAGAGTTCTTGGGTTTCAAGGAAAATAGTTGTGTAGGTCACATATTTTCTTTTTTAAAAACACCAAATGTAATTATGTTTTATAAAGACAAGAAAAAGAAAGGTTAATGGAGAGACACATACACCCTTTTTCATTGTCCTCCTAATTGTAAAATCTGAGTGAGAGGCTGTATTATGTGACATTCTGCAACACACCCGCGGGTCTTCTTCAATGAACTTGGATAAGATGGCTAATTACTATTAAGGCCAAAGGGATCTGTATATTTCAAATTAGCTTACCTTTGCTGGCTAGCATACTATTTGTACATAAGAAACAATACTTTGTGATTTCAGAGCAAGACTTCTGCCTAGAAAAATAGAAAGCACCATTAAAGCAAGTACCTGTAAAGCTACCTTTGGTTTTGGCTCACTAAACTTGGCAGAGGTGTCCATGCTTTTCTGAAAATTCTTCCCCCATTTTCAAAGGAAAACTGTATGGCCGAGGAACGACAGACAACAAAGGCCCTGTTTTAGCGTGGATCAACGCTGTGAGCACATTCAGAGCCCTGGACGAGGTAGGTGCCAGCTGTGCTTGGGAGCAATGGCGATGATGGCGATGATGACGGTGATGTGATGATGACGGTGATGGTGATGGTGATGATGGTGATGGTGATGGTGATGGTGATGGTGATGATGGTGATAATGGTGATGGTGATGTGATGATGACGGTGATGATGATGGTGATGGTGATGATGGTGATGGTGATGACGGTGATGATGATGGTGATGATGGTGATGGTGATGACGGTGATGATGATGGTGATGATGGTGATGGTGATGGTGGTGATGATGATGGTGATGGTGATAATGGTGATGGTGATGGTGATGATGGTGATGGTGGTGATGGTGATGATGGTGATGGTGATGGTGATGGTGGTGATGATGATGGTGATGGTGATAATGGTGATGGTGATGGTGATGATGGCGATGATGATGGTGATGTGATGATGGCGATGATGGTGATGGAGGCAGCTGGCTCTGAGCTGCATGATGTCCTTTACTCTTCCAGCAATCTGCAGAGGAATGTGTTACAATCACACGCATTTTACAGATAAAGAGAGAGAGGCTTGGGAAAGGAAGGGAACGTACTCAAAGCCACCCAGCTGGTCTGGGGCAGGGTGATACCTTGATCCCGTGCTGTTGACATGCAACAATGTGACACAGCAAAAAACATGATGAGCCTGTGGCTACATCACCATCTGCTGGGACTTGTCTTTTTTTATCTTCAACTTATTCAGCTTATCTTTTTTATCTGCAACCCGTCCTTCTTATCACAAAGTATGGTTTTGTTAATAGAGACAGACATACACTTTAAGAAATATATTAGCTGCTTTGCAAATTAGCAGGATAGCAATCTCTGAGGTGTGACGTTCTGTCTGAATCCCTGAGTTCTTTCCATTCTTGTGGGAAGTGGTTTCAATCCGTCCAAGGAGGGGTTATGGTGGGGTGCAGTTTTGAGGGGAGGGCTACTCTCTCAGACCACCAACTAAAACTGTCGTTTGCTGTGCTCACGAGGATGGTTTCATCTCGCACTGCTCTTTTCTCTTCTGGTAATGAGCATGCTTGCACTCCAAACAGGATCCAATCTAGCTGTGTGGCCATGGGTGGGAGACTTAACCTCTCTGGGCTTCAGATTCTGTTCTGTAAAAGTGAGGGTGTTGATATGGGCGCCGGCCCTCTAACACTGGGTGGATTTGATGGTGTGATTCCATCCCTTTCATGCAGAAATGGCTCTGCTAGTCGGTGAGCTTGAGCCTGTGCCAGGGAGACCAGGCCCAGGTATGAGACCCAGCCTGTTCCAGTCTGGGCTCCACAGAGTATGGGCTCTGTAACCTGGGGGTGCAGAAGGAGTTTGTGGGGTCACCTTAAAAATGTGCAGCCTTGCTACCTTTCCCTCATCTTACTTGTGTGGCTGAATTGAATTAAGCACTTTGGAACACTGGGAATTTAAGAGGAAGTGGGGCCCATTTGTTGGGTTCATGGACAGAAAGGGACGTGTCGGCAGTCACAGGGCAAACCCCCGCCAACCATCCCTACCCCGTCCCCAAAGAGGCTCTGGGAGCAGCACACTCCTTCCGAGACAGAGGGCTGCGAGGTCGGGCTGGGATGATGTGCCTGTCTGCTGAGGACTGGGGTGGGTCCACCTCCGGGCACCGTGTCCACTTGTCCACAAGGCAAGTGGAGCTGCCCAGCTGCTGCCCGAGGTTCAGGTCCTTGATGCTGCTTCTCCCAAATCCTGTCCATTGAGCAGGTCCTGACGTTGCGTTTTTTCTTTCTCGGAGGTGATTTCATCAGACTCCAGGGGCTTCTCTCTCATGAGTCTGTTGTCTCCTGAGACATAAGCAGAAGAGAGGGTTTCACTGCTCTCACTTGACTGCTTCATCTCACTGAGGAAGACAGGCTTAGTGAATCAGGACGCTTTTCTGCCTGGGCCCTGCTGACCACTGCAAGGTTGTCCTCTTGTTCATGGCACTCCCCTAAGTAAGCCCTTGGTTTCTCTCTCTCTCTCTCTCTGTTTTCTTTCTTCCTCCCTCCCTCCCTTCCTTTCTCTCTCTCTCTCCCCCTCCTTCCCTCCCTCCCCACATCTCACCCCTCTCTCTCGTTTTTCTGTCCTTCTTTCTTAAGAAGAGGAAAGCAATATTTATAAGACAGGTCCTATATAAAGGTCAAAATCTGCTTTGCTTTTGGTTTGTTTGTTTTTGCGGTACGCAGGCCTCTCACTGTTGTGGCCTCTCCCGTTGTGGAGCACAGGCTCCAGACGCGCAAGCTCAGCGGCCGTGGCTCATGGATCCAGCCGCTCCGCGGCACGTGGGATCTTCCCGGACCGGGGCACGAATCCGTGTCCCCTGCATCGGCAGGCAGACTCTCAACCACTGCGCCACCAGGGAAGCCCCTGCTTTGCTTTTTAAATTTCAACTCTGAAATGTATAATCGCAAACAAAACAAGCAATCCCCACTCTGCCCTTAGAAAAGTCAGTTAATCTCCCTGAGCCTCACTCCCCTCGTCCACAGGAATGCGCATATCTGTCTCCAGGCTTGTTGCGTGGATTCAGTGAATATGGAAAGGTTCCCTGGAGCCTGCGAGTACTAGGCCCTTTATGAGCTCTGGTCTCTTCTTTCCTCGTTCCCTTCTGCCCTCCATCCCCTCTTTCTGTCTTGCTTACAGAGCACTTAAATGTACATCACCTCACTGGATCGTCTTACCCAGAGGCAGAGCAAGTATTAACAGAGAAGTGGGCTGCCGAGAGGTGAAATGGCTGGTCCCGGGTCCCTGGGTGTCAAGGGACAGGGCAGAGACCAAAGCCCAGGCTGGGCTGCCAGCCCCACGTCCTCCTCCAACACTTAATAGCTATTGACTTGTATTTTATTAATCACATTTTGCCAGAAAATTCTTAGGCTTTCCAGCTACTTCTTAGGAATTGTTTTCTAGTTAAATGTTAATAAGGAGCTTTCAAATATTAAGATTTCAGAACTTTAGCGTAACTTCCTAAGACACATAGAAATGTATTCAAGGAATGCATTGAAAAGCTTGTTATCCCCAAATGCCCTTAAGCAGCTGAATGACCGAAGGTCACATTTCCTAATACATAATCCTCCACTCATCCTGCCTTTGTTAATCTGGGACCAGGCAACCCCACTTATTAGAGGTAATGAGTGTGTTTGCATTGCCTCGTCTGCATAGAATAACTGTTCACCCCCACCCTGCACGTGCCTTATGCTCTAGGAAAAGCCATCGGCCCCTCTTCTCCACACGGCTCTCAAAGATATGAAGTTATAAATTATACAGATATAAAAAGATCAAAACCAAATGGGGGAAAGTCACATTGTAAAAATTTTAAAGGCGCTATTCCATGTCCTAATATTAGAGAAAAACTCAAGGTCCATTTTGCTGCAAGATCAAAGCCTTTGAATAAGTTAAAAGGCAGATTGAACTCGTAGCTGAAAGATAACAGATACTTGAAATGAAAATTATCCTGAGGCTTAAACGTTAGACAACCTTTCAAAGAGTTCTCATTTATCATGCTCAGAATTATGAGGACAGAAAAGAGATTTGTAATTGAGTAACCTTTCTGGAAAAATTCCTTCTGGGGAGAAAGAGGAACGGGCTTCTCTGCAGGGGCCGAGCGGAACCCCATATGGTGCACGCAGCCTTTTCTTTAGGGATGCCCTGTCCAGATCCTCTGTCATCAGTCTTAGGTTGATGGCTCACTGGCCATTACCTTGAATTCTCCGTCACAACCTGAGTTAAAACTCCTTCGTTATAAACAGAGCTTTTGGGAATGTATATAATAATTCAGTGTGTTTAAGTTACATGCAAACAAATCCTGGATTTTAAAAGGTGAAAGGGCAAGGTGTCCAGTTTTTTTGACAGCGTGGTTTGCTCCACTGTTAATTCAGGATCTGCCCGTGAACGTCAAATTTGTCATCGAGGGGATGGAGGAGGCTGGTTCTCTTGCCCTGGAGGAACTTGTCCAGAAAGAGAAGGCCGGGTTCTTCTCAAGCGTAGACTACATCGTGATTTCAGACAATCTGTGGGTCAGCCGGAGGACGCCCGCGCTCACGTGGGGGACGCGAGGGAACAGCTACTTCATGGTGGAGGTATTGCCAACGGCAGCCGCCTGGAGGTGGATCTGTGCTGGGGTTCCGGCGGGGAGGACAGGGAGTAGACCCCGAGCCGGGGGCACGGCCCCGGGGGATCCGGGGTCCTGGGACTGGGGGATTCATGAAGCCCCCCAGCCGTGAACTCATGCGCTGTGTACGTTTTTCTGGAGAGAAGATTCAGCGGGGTTTGTGACTCCCCACGTTTTAGGAACTCCAGCTGTGAAACTTGGAGGCAGGCACGGGGGCACTGGGGTAAGACTGACCGCCTGATCGGGTTCTGGGGATGCTGTGAGCGGCCGTTACCTGCTCTGCCCACCACGTCTTGGACAGAAAGAGAAGGGGTGCCAGCACTGACAAGGCCGGCACCCGAGGTCTGGCTCATCCGACGAACGGCCTTGAGCGCACATTAAGTCTGAGCCTGTTTCCTTACCTCTGAAGTGAGCACGGTAATCCTCCCAGGCTTGCTGTGATCACTAAAAGCGACCTCGAGTTCCGCCCTGACACGTAGTCTGCTTCCTGCTCCTTTTCTATTAATGCAGACAAGCTGTGATGGAGCCTGCAATTTAGAATCAGAAAGCCCTCCCTCATAGAGCAGCTGGAAACCGCAAAGCGGGGGTGGGGTGGTGGTGGGGGGTGGTGTATGAGAGCCAGAGGGCGGGTGTGAACCTGAGCCGGGAAGGGCTTCCGCTCTTCCGCCGGGGTCCCGGGCAGCTGCAGAAGCAGGGTGGGGTCCGAGCTGTGCAGGCCATGGAACATCTCGCCCGTCGTTGGCCTCTTTCTACTGCTGAGTCAGAAGGAAGTTTCTCTGCAGAGACGTGCTGGAAATAGTCTCTGTGGGGAACAGGTGGGCAGGAAGAAGTGGCTGGCGGGCAGGTGAGGGAGTTTAGTCCCCTGTCCGAGCAGTGGGATATCGTTTGCAGCTGTGCTCAGGGGCCGGTGGTGGAGACACCCCAGTGGGCAGGGTTGATCCAGGGCTTAGGCTGTGCCCGATGGTGTGATGGAGGAGATGAAGTCGGTCAAGACGTCGCCCACGGAGAGGCTGAAGGGATGCACAGGGGCATTCAGGTTGAATGGGGAGAAAAGAAGGACAGGAGGAGGAGAGGTGGGGAGGTCTTGGATGGGTCGAGGGACTGGATGTCTTGCTGTGGCCCAGAACGGGGGAGGGCAGGCTCGTGACGAGGGGGCCAGGAGGAGGGAAGCTGTGAGCAGAGGTGGGATAAGGCGGCGAAAGATTTCAGAGGTGGGGCCCTGCGACCCCAAAGTGCTTTGTTAGCATCCCTGCCTGATGAGATACAGGTCCTAAGTACAGTGACTAAATGGAAGATTCACCTGGCAGGGCTTTAAAGATGGCGACAGAGGCAGAGAAGGGCCAGCCGGGCAGGAAAGGGGAGAGGCAATGGGTCAAAGAGAATTAAAAAACCCAAACTCATTAGAACTTGGGAACCGATTGGACATAATGTGCCTGGGAGAAATCCAAGATCATTTTTTTTTTAAGATTTTTTTTGATGGGGGCCATTTTTAGAGTCTTTGTTGAATTTGTTACAATATTGCTTCTGTTTTATGTTTTGGTTTCTTGGCCGTGAGGCATGTGGGATCTTAGCTCCCCGACCAGGGATCGAACCTGCACCCCCTGCCCTGGAAGGCGAAATCTTAACTACTGGACCACCAGGGAAGTCCCCAACATCATTTTAAGGGGATAGATTTATAGGACTGGCATCTCTCCTTGTTTTGGAAACAGCAAGCTAGGAGGAAGTAATTGTAGAAGATGTTCCCGTCTAGACCTCCTCAGGTTCAGAAGCTGGGAGCACACCAAAGTGTTATGTACCATAAGCGACTAGAAGCTTTAGGTCTTGTGAGTAGGTCAAAGGTCAGACCTACGGAAGGAGCGCTGAGAGTCTGGCGGTTGTAAAGGAAGTCCCATGGGCCTTGAAGCTCTGTGTGTAGAGTGATCCAAGGATTAAGACAGAAAAGAAGTCATCAGAGGAGACGTAAGTAGAATGGTCCTACAGGAGGACAAGAACAAGGAGAAGAAAGCTTCCTGGAGAATTTTCTGGAAGGAGGGCTGAGCATGAGATGGCGTGAAACCAAGAGCAAGGCAACTGTGCTGCACGTCAGCCGTTAGGCCAAGGAGGGGCTGGTGGTCTGGGATTTGGCACTGTTGGTGGCCAGGCTGGGGCTGAGCTGGTTTCAGGGAATTCAGTGGGACCTGAAGACGTGAGGGGCAGACGCTCCACATCGTGTGACAGAAGCACGGTGGTGACAACGTCAGCTGACCCCTGAGCACTGAGGGCCACCCGGGGCGGGTCTGCCGCCTGGTGAAGGTGTCTCTGAGCAGCCATGGCGAAAAGCAGCCCCCTTCCCGTTCCCTGTCTTGCAGGTGAAGTGCAGAGATCAGGATTTCCACTCGGGGACCTTTGGTGGGATCCTTAACGAACCCATGGCGGATCTGGTCGCTCTTCTTGGTAATGTCTTCTTTCGTTTCACTTTTAAGCATCAGGGAATCTGCTAACGTAGTTCTGTTTGACTCAGTTGTCTCCCCCTTGGTTTCCAGGCCAGCCCTGAATAAGGGTGGAGCGGAGGAAGACCACGGTCTTAGCTTCCCCCTTGGCTAAACGTTTCTTAGGCTTATTACGTCCACGTTGTTTCTCTTCATGGACTGAAACCCTTCCTCAATCCACCCCCTTTCCTTTCACTGGATGTTGCGACACATCTGGCTGTACTTGAGGATAGTGGCAGAGACCTTTCTGGAGAAGCATCCAGAGTTGGTTCCCAATCTACCCACACCTCTTGGCTTCCTTCCTGTGAGTCGCTGTGGTCCCACGTGGCTCAGCGACGCCACTGAGTTTGCTCGTTGCCCCTGCCCGTGACCTCCTCAGGTGGTGGGCCTGGTGGATGCAGGTGGGAGTCGTGTGTGTGTGTGTGTGTGTGTGTGTGTGCGCGTTCGTGTGTGTTTCCAGAGAGCCAGCTTGCCCACCTGACTCACCTGGAGCTCTTGCCTACATTCGGACAGCCCAGCCTCCGGGTGGATCCCGGAATCGAAGGAGGCTTCATCTCCAGGGCCTCGCGTGCACAGTCCTGGCAGGGGCACTGCACACGTGCATAGTCATAATTTGGTTCTTTTTAAAAAAGAGGTTTTCAGGTTACATAAGCCTCAGACCTCGCAATACCTGGATCTTTCTCACCTTTCTCACCGTTAAAGAACAAAGAAAATTTGTTCTTTAACGGTAGTTGCATTATGGTTTTTACCTTGTGAGCTCTGGAGCATTTGGTGAAGCAGATAAACAAACCAGAAATGATCGCGTACATCCTAAGACTTCTTCCAGCAGGTCCGCTGATTAGCTGTGTCCCACAGCCAGGTGTGATGTCCCAAGGGCGACTTTATGCAAATTTTACAACGTGCCCCTTTTGGGCAAACTGCCAAAAAGCACTCCCTCTTTGGGAATCAATTAGCAAAAATCTCTCTTTTTTCCATATTGACACAGTTCTACCTTGGCCACGCCCTCCCGAATCCCCTTGGCCTCGGCAGCCTCCGACAGGGAACCACCAGCCCACCGGGCGACCTGTTGGGAGGTTGCCTCTGGGTCTTCAGTATCACCTTTATTCTAGAGCTTCCTGCTCCTTCATTGTCCAATTAAATCCATCTATCTATCTACCTATCTATCTCTCTATCCATCCATCCATCCATCCATCCATGTCATCAGCATCTGCTTCTTTTATAGATGCTCATTGATGATTTTTCACTCATTGCTGTTAATCCCCAAACTTTTTCACAAATAACAGAGCAGTGTATCTGCTTCGCCACTACGAAAGCTTTTATGGTTATGACGTGGCTCATAGACTAGATCTCAAGGCTGTTACGTTTTTGATTAAAGATGAGTATTTATTATATTATTGTGGTGTGTGTAGGGGAGAGAGGTTGAGAAGGAACGATGACTTTCAGTTTCTCAGGTTTGTACATATATTCACATACATATATATTTAAAATATTTTTCTAATGAACACATTACTTTTTAACTCAGGATAAGATAAAACTAAAAAAGGAACCTTGTTTATGATGTAAGAGTGTAGCTGAGAACTTGCATGTAACACAGGTAAGTCACTCCAAATGTAACTGATTGCAGAGCCGTGTGTTTCCATCCCTTTGTCGACAAGGTGGACGTTAAAACGGGTCTGACGCAGGCTGAGTCTTCCTGGTGACCGGCTCCTTTCTCCCACCGTCACCTCTGGGACGTGAGCTACTGACAAGTGGCTCTGCTGTAGGGCCCAGGGCCGGTCACAGGGCCGGTCGCAGGCCCGCTGCAGCCCCAGGAGGGTCCCTGAGGCTCTGCTCCAGGGCCAGGACCCCACGCACCTGTAGCTTCCACCCGCCTTTGTCTCCTGTGTGTCTCTCATAGGCAGCCTGGTGGACTCTTCTGGTCGAATTCTGATCCCTGGAATCTATGACCACGTGGCTCCTGTTACAGAGGAGGAAAAGAGAACATACGAAGCCATCGATCTGGACCTTGAGGAGTACCGGAACAGCAGCCAGGTTAAGAAATTTCTGTTTGACACCAAGGTAGGTCACACGTTGACGGGTAACCTGAAAGAGGAACGATGAAAACCCGTATGTTCCCAGTGCCTAGTTTGCTATGTGCTGCTGTTCTGCACATCTCGGAGCTGAGAGCACATGCTAATCAGGGGCAGGTTTCCCTTCACGAAACCTCGTGGTCCTCGTGGTCTAGATCAACGGGGCCTTTTCCTGGGGTCCATCTGGCACCGGCCTCAGGCGCCTAACCACAGGGCAGTGATTCACTTCACAGCCGTGCCTTTCCAAACTGGCTTATGAGACTCAACCTCACGCCAGCCTCAGCCAGTGAGCTGAGCTTCCTATCTATCTGTTTAAAGGTTGAGAATAGACTGAGATCATTTCAGCTCCAAGACCCCTAATTATTCATTTTTTAAAAGACAAAACCAAGAGCTTTACGGGGCTAATGTGTAAATTGCTACGTTGCTCTTGGAGTGTAGTAAGTAAACCCAGAGCCCAAAGCATTGGCTACTGGTAAATTTAGATTTTGCTCTTTTCCCTTCTACTTCTCCTCCTCCTTAAAATAACAACAACAAAACCCAAAACAAACAAACAAAAAAGACCCTTGCCTGCTGTGGTGTTTGGTAGCTCTGGCTGGCTCCTGGGCAGACGCTCCAGGAGAGGGAAAAATGCCGAATACTGGTGGCGAGTTTACTCTTACGAAGTATGTCTCTTGCCTCAGACTAGCTCTCTGGTGGCCACTGGCTCAAATGTCTGTAGATTTCTTTGAAACCTTCTGGAAAATAAAATGCATTTAGCATATAAGTTATCATGGCAATGACTGGGGATAGAAATTTACAATTGAACCCCAGGTTTGGAAAGGGCCCCTTTGCCATCTATTAACTGCAAATCAGAGCTGGAGTGGTGAGGGGCCCTTGTCAGTGGAAGCAGCTAGGGCAGGTGAAGGCAGCAGAGGGTCTCAGGTCCTGAGGGAAAAGTCCACCTGTACTATTAGTCCAGACATATCTAAGTAAGGTGCTAATTAACTTGTCATGAATGGTGTCACAGATGTACAGAAATTGGTGATACAAGCAATATAATTCAACTGGGTTTTAACTAAACACTCCTCTAGATAGTAAAATGATTTTATTTTACTTTAGGAGGAACTTCTAATGCACCTGTGGAGATACCCATCTCTTTCTATTCATGGGATCGAGGGCGCGTTTCATGAGCCTGGAGCCAAAACAGTCATCCCTGGCCGAGTGATAGGAAAATTTTCAATCCGTCTAGTCCCTCACATGAATATGTCTGTGGTGGAGAAGCAGGTAACCAGCGTGCGTTTTTCTCCCGCCCAGTGGCAGTGCCATTTCTGAGCGCCGAACACCACAGTTTAGCGGGCAGTTCAGCTGTTCGCATAGAAGTATCATTTTTTTTTTTCCAATACAAAAGGGACTGGAACAAATGTCAAGAAACTGATAAATTTTTGTTCGGTAGAAACCTCTTTGCTCAATTATACGCAATTATAGTAGTCAGATAAGTAACCGTTTGGAGTTGGAGTGATGGGAAATTTTAAAAAATTAAATGGTAGCCATGAAGGCAAGATTGGTTTTACACCCAGATGGAGAAGCTAACTGCCTACGGCTGGGCTGAGCTGGGACATCTCAAGCTGCAGTCATCAGTTTGTCTGTGATGTCTGAAATCTACACTCTGAAAGCAGCCATTTTAATGAAAACGTTCCTTATCTGGAGGGAGTGCCTGTCTCAGAGTGCCTGTCTCAGTCATCAGTTTACCCCAAGTTTAACAGAAAGTAGACTCTGAATAAATAAGCTCAGGAAACACCTCATCCCACCCCCGTCTATCCCACTGTCCCTTTCATTGTCTTCTCAGTGCTGATTACATCCTAAAATACTCTCCATCCTTCCTCCCTCCCTCCCTTTTTGTCCCTCTGTCTACAACGTATAAATTCCACGAGGGCAGGACCGTCCTGGTCGTGCTCACAGCTGTGACCCCAGCACCCAGAACAGTTCCTGCCACATGACAGGCGTCCATTAACATTGGTTGAAGCAAATATTGGAAGGATTTTTTTTTCTTTTTTTTTTGCCGCGCCACGCGGCCTGTGGGGTCCCAGTTCCCCGACCAGGGATTGAAACTGGGCCCTTGGCAGTGAGAGCGCGGAGTCCCAACCGCTGGAGCGCCAGGGAAGTCCCTGGAAGGGCTATTTTAGAGTATGGAGTTGTTCTCAGAGGATTTCCTGACTAGCGGCTGGAACAGAGCCAAGAAAGAGAAGGGCGCTGATGACACGGGTCCTTCACAGCTTAGCTTGGAACTGCTTCCACTTCTCAGAAATTTCCAAACGCATGGTATTCCCCATAAGAGTCATTAAGGTACTGGTAAGTCCAAAAAGAGTGGTCAGTCGTCAGATGGAGAAGTTGTACTTGTATTGTGTTTCATAATTACCAAAATTCATAATAACCAAACGTTAACAGTCAGACACCCTGGTGAGTATGGGGAGGGTCAGAGCTGGGATTGGAGGGTCTGGGGACAGAAGGGGAGTGAGAGCTCGCGTTCCTCCCACTGGCGAAGCTCCCAGTCCTGGAGCCCTGCTCACCCCATGCCATCCCTCTGGAAGAACTAAGGTAAAACCCAAATAGTTGAATTTGTTGGGTTGAGATTTCATCAGTTTCTTGTTGAAAGACGACTGTATGTTCATGGTATGAGAGAATAACTTGAAATTTTCTTTTCCACCTGAAAATGTTCCTTTTAGGTGAAGCAGCATCTTGACTATATATTCTCCAAAAGAAACAGCTCCAACCAGATGACTGTATCTATGACTCTAGGACTACACCCGTGGGTTGCAAATATCAGAGACAATCAGTATCTTGCGGCAAAAAGAGCCATCAAAACAGGTTGGACTTCAGATATTTTTATTTTTTTATTTAAAAAATTTTTTAAACATCTTTATTGGAGTATAATTGCTTTACAATGGTGTGTTAGTTTCTGCTGTATAACAAAGTGAATCAGTTATACATATACATATGTTCCCATATCTCTTCCCTCTTGTGTCTCCCTCCCTCCCACCCTCCCTATCCCACCCCTCTAGGCGGTCACAAAGCACCGAGCTGATCTCCCTGTGCTATGCGGCTGCTTCCCACCAGCTATCTATTTTACGTTTGGTAGTGTATATATGTCCATGCCACTCTCTCACTTCATCCCAGCTTAACCTTACCCCTCCCCGTGTCCTCATGTCCATTCTCTACGTCTGCGTCTTTATTCCTGTCCTGCCCCTAGGTTCTTCAGCACCTGCCCCTAGGTTCTTCAGCACCAATGCCCTTCACCATTTCAGTAATTTGCTGAAGGGCACCCAGCTATTAGTGGCAAAGCCAGGGTTTAAGTTCACACCATGAGATTTGAATTTGGGGCAAAATGATGGACTTGAAAACCTCCAATACTCCTGGAAATGATGACCAACATTTGAAAACATCCTTTTAAAGGCACAGCTGAACTCGCATGAAAGTAAAGGAAATCTTCTGGGATTAACAATGAAGAAGGAGCTCAAATGTAGTGCAGTGAGCAAGCTGACACGGGCCGCCCTGCGGGGACTTGTTCTTCCTGCTCACAAGGAGGTGTGGGTTTTAGTGGTTTCGGGTCAGCATGAAGCAGACAACGAGACCCACTACATAAAAGCCTCGCTCCAAGAGCCACGCTCACCCTGGACGGGGTGTGTGTGTGCAAGCTTGGACGTCCTTGCTTGGGTTTTCGGTGAACACAGAGTCTCCCCTGAGAGTTTTGAACCATGGACCTGTCTTGGCATGGGTTTGGGTCTTTAATTACTGTGTGTGGTTGTGTTCTTCCCAAGCCCATCCTGGACTGCCTGGCTGGTGCAGACGGCCCCAAGGCAGGCCATGTGAGCTTTGCACTGAAGAAGCTTCCTGGATATGTGCTCCTTGTATAAAATTACAGAACACACGAGAAACTCAATTCCAGCCTATCCGCCTCTAAAACCAGCGGTCTTTTTTACAATGCCATTCTGCTTCTCCAGAGGTAGGGAATAGCTTTATTTGTAATTTCCTCAGCGGTGCCTGTTTTGATTTCGTGTATTTCAAAGTCCTGGACAGGATACGTGATTGGTGAGCAGGGACACAGGCCTGGGCTTCTGGCTGCCCAGGGAGGAGGAACAGCCAGTCTTTTCTGCAGCAGGAATGGGACACTGTCAACAGTTGCGAAGTGGGGGGCTCTCCTAAAAGCAGGGGGAGTTTTGGGGTCTCTCCAAACGTTAGGCGGGAAGACACTGGCAAGTGTTTATATAGACGATGCACTATATTACAGTTGGGCCTTGGGCCACACCCCCAGAGATGCTGGAGCTGGAACTGGGGGTCCAGACCTCCTTGGAGCCCTCACTGTCTGTCAGGATTATCACTACAGGGACACAGACATTAACAATCACAGGACAAGTCCAAGACCTAGAGCCGTGCTTCTCTGCATAATCATTCCTACTGTCCCAGTTGTAGCAGCATTTTGCCAATTTTGGAGTGAAGAAAAGAGGAAGAAGGGTTAGGAAGGTAAATGTAATGCCCCTGAAGAGAGGCGTGTGGTTGAAATGTCAAGGCCTGACGTACTCTTGCAGGAAGGCATGGGCACCTTTGGGCCTGTTTGTGTGCTGGACCAGTTCTGCTAACAAAGTCCATCATCTTTATTCACATTCACACCTTGCTCTGTGGGTAAAGAAGGTCGGGCACGCTCTCTCTTGCAACTGTTTCATTTTTCACTCCTGCTCTGTCACCAGCAACTTGTCCTCTAGCCTACAAGGTTTGAACTCATCTCTTTCCAGACCCTAGGATATCCGTTAAAACTATTTCCTGGGATACCCTGAAAGTTGAGCACAAACGCTGAGACATTCAGGTGACGGTTGAGTACAGCTATTTATTTGTATATTGGTTACAAACAAAAAAACAAAGAAGTCCCACCTTCCCAATATTTAATTCATGCACCAGCCATAGAAGTGGGCATACCATCTTGTGCCGCTCCTGCCAAAAATGCATGACTTCTTCCAATCAGGAGAAAGCATCAGACAAACCTAAACTGAGCGACATTTTACAAAACAACTGATGAGTACTCTACAAGAGGGTCAAGTTCATGAAAGTCAAAGAGAGGCTGAGAACCTGTCACAGACTAGAAGAGACTCAAAAGCAATGACAAAATGCAGTGTGGGATTCTGGATTCAATCCTGGTATAGAAAAAGGGAAAAAGTGGTAAAATTCCAATCAGGTCTGAGTTTACTTAATAATATTATTCCAATGTTAATTTCCTATTCTTGATAATTGTACAATAGTTATATGTTAACATTAGGGAAAGTAAAAGGATATATGGGAACTCTGTACTGTTTTTGCAACTTTTCTGTAAGTATAAAATTAGTTCAAAATACAAATTTAAAAATATTTTTAAAAAGTAGATAATTGTACTTCCCTGGCGGTCCAGTGGTTAAGACTCTGTACTTCCACTGCAGGGGCCTCAGGTTTGATCCCTGGTTGGGAAACTAAGATCCCGCATGCTGCATGACCAAAATAAATTAAAAAAGTTTAAAAGTAGATAATTGTAAAGAAGGCAACCACAGTTTTCTTCTTGACTCTGTTGATGATTTTAGAACATAAATTATGTGAAATCAAGAAGCTTACCGAACCCAAGTATCAAATTTAATGATTAAAACAAAGAAGAAGAAAAAGACAAAGCAAACACTACATTTGAGGAGATTACTGGGGGTAGTCTTGTCATTATTTTACTCAAATGCCTTCTTTTCCTGTGCTTCATTCAGTGTTTGGGACAGAGCCAGACATGATCCGGGATGGATCAACCATACCTATTGCCAGAATATTCCAGGACGCCATCCAGAAGAGTGTGATGATGCTCCCGCTGGGCGCGGTGGATGATGGAGAGCACTCCCAGAAGGAGAAGATCAACAGGTGAGTGCGTCCTGTAGGCGCTCACCCCTCACTGCACAAGCCTGGGTCCTCACGCCGGTAACCTCCAGACAGGCTGCATACTTCAGATGCAGTTTCTGTCATCAAGTCTTCCTGTTTAAACTGTAGACTACTTTCCCTCTGTCATCTGAATGGGAATAACAGTGTCTCTGTTTCTTTTGTTAGGTGGAATTACATAGAGGGATCCAAATTATTTGCTGCCTTTTTCCTAGAGATGGCTAAGCTGCATTAATCATGGTAGGAACCTTCCAGCCTAGGCCTGACCTACTGACAGATCCCCTTTCACACAACCCTGGGCAGGAACAAAATCTAACTATTCAGAGGAATTTGGTCCCCCAAATAATGTTTTCCCTTGGACATCTGGACCAGTAATAAAATATTTCCAAGGTGCAGACATCGGACGTGGTTTTGTGTCACCGTGCACACCTTTCTAAAGCCACAGCCACCTTCAACAACCTGACTTCCCTGAGTCCTGCTGCGGCTGCCCCAGACCTGGACTCACGGTACCCTTCAGGATGAGGACAAGTCTCTGATGAGATTCTCCGCTTGCAATTTGATTGGTATAATCACTGCAGTTTGCGTTCTAGGCCTCTAAGTGCTTGACGCACAGTCATCCCATCCGGTGACTGTCCATCCTACGTCACCCCTGCTTTTACCACTTGTGCCCTTTATCTTATTGACAAACATGTTGGTCTCCAGCACTGCCTACTGTAATTTCCCTGTGGGCTCATTTTTAGAGGAGTTACTAAAGCATGATACCGCATTAACCTCTTGCTTCCCCTTCATTTATTTTTCCTGCTTCTTCAAAAGTGCTGAAATGGAAATGATCACTATTCATATGCTTATGCCATCTGGGATTCCTCATGCGAAAATGAGTACTTTCTAAGTTCCAAGCCTCTTTACCTTTGCTGCAATTGATGCCAGCCGACTGCCCCTCCTGCAGCCTCTTCTTTCTTCCTGCCCCGTCAGTGAAGGCCTCCTTGCTCTCTTCAACATCTGCGCACCTGTCAATGCGCCACAGCAGAATTAATCCTGATAGAATTTCTCTCACCCTGCGGGAACTGTACTCAGTGACTACATCTAATAAATTGCTCAAAGCTTTTAATAGCATGGGTTTTAGATAGAGAGCTAATCAACCCTGACATCAGTAACACATTCTAAATTTAAAGCCGTCAGCTAATGCTGGGTTCATTAATCATTTTAGTTAACCATCTTGTTTGGCTTGATTGGATTTGACAGTGTAAACAAACAAAAAATGCAATTTTTCTACAGTTGAGTATATTTAAACAAACAGATTTAATCTCTATAAATTATTTAAATCACATTAATGGAGAAGAATTTAACGGTTTGTTAAAAATGTTTCTCATGATTCTAAATAAAAAACAAGCATAACACATTCCATTGCTTCATGGGTTCTTGAAATGTCAGTTTTAAAACTTGCTGCACCTCATCTCAAATGGCTGGACCAGAGGGCCAGTAATTCGGCTTGTCCTGAACTGCGTCACAGAAATGGGACCCAGCTGAGGCTTTAGCCACTTTTCCTCTGATGCTGGAGAACATTTAAATGCTGTCTGTTGAGTATGGGCAGGAATTTGATATTTTTTTGCTATTAAGCTTGGTTTGTGCTTGCCAGATTACATAGAACCTTTTGACATTTTGGATTTTGTGGGACCTAACTGGTGTATTTGGCAGACTTCTCAAGAATATACAAGAAGTTTATGATCCCCATTTATATTTTAAAAGGGTGTTCATATTAATCAATTAACAAGGCTGGTTAAAACGTATTGTAACCACTTCTGAGCAGTGTAACATCAGTTTGTTTTACCAAGCATCTAAATTATAAGATTACTCATTCACTAATCTACGTTCCTGCTGAATCTCTGAGACTTGCAACGTCTGGTTAATTATTCAGCTACCACCAGGCAAGAAAGGCAGGACAAAGGCTGAGGTCACTGAGTCTAGGAGATCCCAACCTTGGAATGTCTGGGTGCAGAGCCATAGTTTTCTGCCTCTAGGGGTCACGATGAGTGTCCCCAGCTCTCCCAGGTCCATCTGGGTTTTCTACCCGGCCCCAAGCCAGGTGCCTACCTGGGTTCTGCTGTGATCTGGAGTCAGAAGGGAAGTATTTTCAGGGCAGTTACACACATACGGGTGATAGAAATCTACCCGCTTATTGGCCAGGAGGCCAGGTAAAATTTTTAAATATTCTCTATCTCCAATCTCTGTCTTCCATTTCCAACTCATCTCTGTACTTCAGGGGTCCAGTGAAGTGCGCTGCACACAGTAGGTGCTCAATATTGCACGCTAAAATCCTCCTCTTAGTTCCGCAGCTGCATTTTTGGGCTTTCCCTGGCCTGGACTTCTATCTTTATGCTCTTTGCCTCACGTCGTTCCTAGCTGAAACCGTCTTGGGAGCAGCTAGCACTGGGAAAAAGCACATGAAACAAGTCATGCTGAGGTGCCATCGACTGATAACAGCGCCCGTGTATCCGCCCAGGCAGCACTTGTCTGTGCAGGGGCCACAAGCCAGCAGCCGTGAGCCCCATACGGCTGCCTTCAGTGCGTTTCACGTGGCCTTCACGTTGTTCTAGGTACTTCTGAATTGGATGCCAGCATCTCAAAATCAGCAGACCTCACCCAAATGATTTCTCTTGAGCTGTCAGAAGACTGGGTAACACCATCTGCGGTTCGTGCAGGGTGACAGCCCGCTGAGCTGAGGAGAGGCTGTGCTGAGCACAGTGCCTGGCCCATAATATGTGCTCAGTAAGTTTCTTAGACGCAGAGTAAGAAGGAAGCTCACGAATAATACAGTTGTACTTGGCTTCTCACTTCTGATAAGTAACTCTCACTTAAAAAAAACAAGCCCTGGACTTCCCTGGTGGCGCAGTGGTTGAGAGCCTGCCTGCCGATGCAGGGGACTTGGGTTCGTGCCCCAGTCTGGGAAGATCCCACATGCCGCGGAGCGGCTGGGCCCGTGAGCCATGGCAGCTGAGCCTGCGCGTCCGGAGCCTGTGCTCCGCGACGGGAGGGGCCACAACAGTGAGAGGCCCGCGTACCACAAAAAAAATAAAAAACAACCAAAAAAACACAACAAGCCCCCAAACAAATACCATTTTATGATAGGTCCAAATGATTTTTAAATACTATACTATTTTAAATATCTAGTGTTATATGTATTCAATGCCATCTAGCTATTATTTTTAAATTTTATGTTTCAATTCAAGTTTGAATACTAACGGAACATGTAGTAAACAGTTAAATAATGAGTTGCGGACTTATGTAAGATGAAATAAAATATTTGTTTCAGTGGTAATGTACCTATGGTTAAATCTAGCATAATTCTATTATCTATCTGTAATACCACTGCTGTTCATGACAAGCAGCAAACTTAAACCCAGGCCTAACACCTGCACATATCATTTCTGTTCTTCCACTGAACAGCTCTCTAACATCTGCATTCTATATCGCAGGCCACTTAACTGGTAAGAAAGATAATCTCCCTCTTTACTATATCAGAACAGCTTTCCTCTTTGGGAAGCAAGCTCTGGGAGGCCGAGGCTGGCTTGGGGGTGTTCTTTGTTCAGCTGTCCAAAGGCTCCATCAGTCGATGAAATGAAGCCAGAAATACAGATTTCCTGAAGCAAAGTGTTCTTTTTCTTTCCAGCATGATGTGGAAGAGAACGGATTAATGACTATAATTTCTTAACAGTTATGATAAGTAAATAAATGCTTCTGAGCTTTCTTTGACTAGGTAGATTGAAGAGAAAAAAAACTGTCACTACGTGGAAAAATTTTATTTAAAAAATTATTCTAGTGTAATTTCTTATTGAGAATGAAAAAAGATGTCAGAGAAATTATGCCTTTGACTATAATAGAAAATATGAAGTTTTACATCATCTCACCTCCCACATTGAAATTCACCAAAACAGCATTCAAAGAGAACTTAGATTTAAAATTCTAGCGTGGGTGGTTAAGTGTTCCTAGCCTACTCTCATTGTTACTGTAGGTAGGCATGTGAGTGTAGTGGCAGAAAATGTTAACTTAAAGGAAATTAGAACTTTAAATGACACTGTTAAAGTAAATGAGTCATCAAGAATGGTTAGTCACCAAAAATGACCAATGCTTCCTTTCAAATTTTAAATAATTATAGTCAAATAAAGGCAGCTATCTAAATTTTATTTAAAACCCCACTTGAAAAACTGGAAGGCAGACTTTAGGGCTCCTACAGAGTGAGGGGAAGAGGTTCAGGAAAGGACAGTCACAGAGGGGAAGCAGTGCATTCTGCACGCCCTGCCTAGGTCTCTGGATGACCTCTGAACCATGCCTGTGTGAGGCGGACGAAAGCCTCTCGGCTAAGGCTGAGGGGACTGAATGTGACTTCAGCTGCTACCATGACAGGAGAGACAAAGTTAAGGAGTAGCAGTACAGCCAGAACTGCCTGTTAAAACAGTAACGACAACAACCAACCTCTTCAGAAGAACAGAAGTGAATTCAGAGTCTCTACGTTATATTACTCAAATATCTAGGATACAACCAGAATTACTGGGCATTTAGGAAAAAGGGAAACATGACTCACAATCAAGAGAAAAGAGCAAATTAATGAAGATTAACCCCAAGATGATTCATATGCTGGAATTAGCAGACAAATATGTCAAAGCAGCTATTATAACTTTGCTCAAAGACACAGTGGAAAATATGCCTTTAGTAAATGAACCAATAGGGAATCTCAGCAGAGAAACAGAAACGGTAAGACAGAACAAAATAAAAATTTTAGAACTAAAAGATACAATATCTGAATTAAGAACAAAAAAGAATCACTAGCTGCTTTTAACAGATGATTGGAGATGACAGAAGAAAGAATCAGAATAGATCAATAAAAATCCAATCTGAAGGTCTGAGAGAAAGAAAAGAATGAAACCAAAACAAAAAAGGACAGAGCCTCAGTGAGTTATGTATATCAAGAGGTGTAACATATATTTAATTGAAATTCAAAAGAAAAAGAGAGAATGGTGAAAAGTAACAGTATTTGGAGAAATAATGGTCCCAAATTTTCCAAACTTGGTGAAATACATAAATTTACAGGTGTTCAAAGTTCAGAAAACCCCAAATAGTATAAATATGAAGAAAATCATGCCTAGGTACATCACAATCAGATTGCTGAAAGCCAAAAATACAGAGAAAATTTTGCAGGTAGCCTGAGAAAAATGACAAATTACATACAGGGAAACATAAAAGGGAGAAAAACATCTGAATGACCTCTGCTCATCAGGAAAAAATGGAGGCCAGAAGTAATGGAAAGACATCATCTTTGGCAAACATGTCTTAAAGAAGCTCCAAAGGAGCTTTATTATATATATACATATATATAATATATATATATAAAGGATATATATATTATATATAAATTTTCCTAATAAGACACAGAAAAACAAATTTTTCCTATATTCTTGGATTCTCTTGCGCATTGCATGACACGTAGGTGCTTAATAAACCACAGCTATCACCGCTGTATTATCTAATGGAACAGTCTTTTAAATGTTTTAATGAGAGTAACAGTATTAGACACTATTACTGTGGCTTAGAAATTTTAGAGCCTCTTCTATTAACAGAATGACGAAAGACCGGAACTTTACTCTAAATGACTAATTTTATACACGAGGAAGTCAGGTTGACTTCCTTAAGGTCACTGTCCTTAAGGTTGACTTCCTTAAGGTATGATGCAAAGGTCCTGTCTCAGTAAAATACTGCATGATGGGGAACTGAAAAACAAACTCAGAAGAAAAATAAACTCGCTGCTCAAAGAAGGAAGATGAAATGTTAACTCAGTTCCCAGGGTAAGAAAGGTAGCAAGGTCAATCTCCTACAAATCAACAGAATGCCTGTTCAACATGGAAAACAGTGCTAGCTACTCTTAAGTGTTGAGAAATTCATCACCTTCTCATCCAAGACTAACACTCTTGAACTAGCTATTCATTAAAAGATGCAAGGTGGACTGGAAAAGGCTGACTCTGGAGTTTGAAAAGTGAGTTCCACCTTTACTAGCTGTGTGATCTTGGAACAGTTATTTAACTCTTCTAAATTACAACTTCCTGTTGTGGGTGACGGACATGAGAATTCATGTGGATTACAGTAAAAATTCGACCAGATAATGTCTATGAAAAGTACTCTGTAAACCAGTATTTAAAACGTTATTATCACCTGAATATTCTGACTTAAATAAGCGTTGAGCTGAACTGGCCTTGAGAGATGGGTTTGGTTTAGATCGCCTACCATCATTATTACAGGGCCATCCTTTAAAAACTCCGTTTACCTAAAATTTTACAAATCCAATTATTTAAGAGCTTTCCCTATACCTACAAGATAAAGTCAAAAATGCTGAGCAAGCGGTGTCTCAAGCTGATCGCAAGTGGGATGTCGCCTCTCATCTCTATATAGGTGTCCGTCAGAGCACTTTGCAAGCCGCGGTCTTCCTTCCTGGATCTGGAGTTTCCGGGGAAGGGCTGTAAGCTTCAGGTCCGCGGATGCTCCCGCAAGAGGGGCAGGCGGCGGCGGGGACGACCACGCTTCGGTCGTGCCTTACTTTCTTCCTAACAATTCTTGCGCTGCGTCACTACCGTTAATAAAAACGGTCCAGCGGGGGCTTTTTAAACACCTAGGGCGTTTTCGGCTTTTATTGCCCAACTGGCCGGCCACCACACTCGGTGCTCTGCCTCCCCTTTAGTATCGGAACTCGGCTCGTGGCTCCCTGCGGCCCGTGACTCCGAGGATCCTTTCTTGGAGTCCACCGACAGACTGTCTTCAACATCTAGGGTTGCGCACGCGCCTGGCCCAGCAGAGAAACCGTGTCCCCGTAGACGGCCGCCTAGAAGCGCCGGGCACCGTTCGGGGCCCGGAAGGCCCAGGACAGCGGCCGCTCGCCCCGCGCCGCCCTCTGCGCTCACGCGCCGCCCTCAGGGGTCCTCTACGGCGGGCGGGCGGGGGACGGGGTGGGGTGAGGAGACATGGGACACGGAAGGGAAGAATGTCCAGAGAAATCCGCTTGGGGACTCTCCCCAAACCCCACTTGGCCCTCCGGCTCAGACACTTCCAGCCGGACGCATCTCCCCTTCTTTAGATTGTCTTCTTTGGCTTTCCGTTTTCCTCTCTTGCGGAGGGGCGGAACTTCCGGTCCCATCTCCTAGCAACTTCCGGCGAGAGCTGACAGACAAAAAAAAAAAACAAGAGGCACATAGGTGCCCCGGTCAGTCGGGACAGAAAAAGGAAACTCGACGTGGGTTTTACTAATCCAGTTCCAGGATCCTGGTTTTTGGTCATGGTGTCCGGTGCGCAGTCCACGAAGGAGTCGGCCTGAAGACCGCCGGAAGTCGCTCAGCGGAGAGACAGGAAGTCCCGCCCCTTCCTCCCAAAGGGAAGACGGTGAGCCGGAGGAGTCAGTCAGAGGGGCGAGCAGGAGCGATTCCGTCGGCAAACAGGTAAGTTATTCTCTGGCCGGGGCGGGGGGTTTGGAGGCGGGGACCGTCCAGCGTCAGCGTGGGGCCTGGGGGCGGTGGCTTGAGGGCCCGGGCCCGGGCGGCTGGGCGCCGGGAGCCCCGCCAGGGCCCTTCGCTCTTCCTCCTCCCCCCTTCCCCCCGCCTCCGCCCCTCCCCGCTCGCCGGTCCCTCCCGACGCCGCCCAGACTCACCCGACACACGCCCGCCGCCCGCGCGGCCTTGCGGCCGCCCGGGCTCCACGCCGCCAGCCGCTGCTCGCCCCGAGGCCCGACTCACACGGGCCTGGCTGTCAGGGCGGAGGCGGCGATTCCGCGCGCCCCTGCCCGCGGTCGGGCGCTTCTCACCGCCGGGCTTCCCCCGAGTGAAACGCACACGCCGAGCTGCCGCGTGTCGGTTTCCTCCGGCTGCCCGCCCCCTCCCGGTCTCCCGGAGCCGCGCCGCTGCCACCAGCGTCGGCTTCCGTTTAGGACGCCGGCCGGGCAGCGGTCAGGAGCTCTGGTGCCCGAGAGCGGCACGACTGGAAGGGAGGGTCCTAGCCGCTCGGGTTCAGCCGCTCTGCCCTGGACGGAGACCCCAGGCTGCCGCACACCACTTTTTGCAGCAGCGGGTACTCCTCTTCCCAGCTAGCGGGCACGTACTGTGTGTGCTTGTCCGCTTTCTGGGGACCAGTCTGGTGGAGGCGGGTGGCAGGAGCGGCTGACCCCTGTCGGCTGCGTCGAGGTGGGAATAGCTTGTTTATTTTCAAGGGGGAATTCTGGAGTGGGATATCTCGGCAGGGTTGGCATCCAGGGACACACGAGTAGGATTTATTTTATAGGTAACCATAACCCTAATGGTGACTGAGGTATAACGTTACAGCTCGTGCCCGTGGAACTAATTACGGTGTGCACCTGTTCTGCGGCGAGGTGTTAGTCCAGCTGGAACACCGTGCAGGGAAGGACGCTGATTATCTATTGACTAGAACATCATTAGGAGAGCTCATTTGATATATACGCTGTATACTTTATTTAGCACAGCAGTTTGTAGAGCAGGAATTAACCCCTTTCCACCAACTGAGACCAAGATTAAATAACTTGACCAAAGTTAACGTCCGGATTCAAATCTCAAATGTTTGTTATTCATTCTTCTTCAAGTTTGCTACATGTGAAATTACTAACTCCTAGTGTCACGTCTGGAAAACACTAAGGCGGGGACTTCCCTGGTGGTCCAGTGGGTAAGACTCTGTGCTCCCAACGCAGGGGACCCCGGGTTCGATCCCTGGTCCGGGAACTAGATACCGCATGCATGCCGCAACTAAGAAGTTGGCAAGCTGCAACTAAGAAGCGGGCATGCTGCAACGAATGATCCCTAGTGCTGCAACGAAGAAACAAACAAAACCCGCTAAGGCAAGGCTCTGTAGTAGCTAATGTCTTCTTACACGATGTGTAAGACAGTTGTGGTGATTGCTGATAGCGCAGTTGCTATTGGTGCCTTTTTTTAAAAAAAACCTGTTATCTTGGAATAATTTCAGATTTACACGAAAGCTGCAAGATAGGACAGAGTTCCACTGGTGTTTAACAAAGCAAAGTGGCTCCACTTAATAATCACTGGTTCCTGCTTCATGCCAGACACCATTTTAGTGCAGGAGAGAGTAACATATTGCCCTAGAAGATTTCAAGGTCCGTTGGAGGAGACAGATACGTAAACAAATGGAATGCCTTTTGCCAAGTGCTGAAATGGAGATACGGGAGCACAGAGGAAATGATCACTGCTGGGGCAGGAGTGGTGAGAGCTTTCAGGATATATTTGAGTGGAGATCTTAAGGGTTAATGGCTATTCACTTGATTGATGGGACATTTTCCCCAACATTCATTCTAATTAGGTTTGTTTTATTAGAGGAGAACTCTCTTCTATAAAACAGACTCTTCTATTTGATTCACCTCCCTCTCTCACAGCCCCTTTAAGAAGAGATTTGTTTCACAGGTAATACAGGTTGCGAGAAGCATCCCAGTTTATAAATCCATGAACAGGAGGATAAATGAAAGCTGTGTAGTAATGGAAATATCTAGATCTATACATTTTTAAATTCTTTGATTTTCTTGCTTGTAAATACTTCCTGTGGTTCGATCACAGTCATTATGAGAGGTCATGGAGCACAGTTCTGCACTGTAACTTGGCGTGTTAGATCCCCACACCAGAGGGGACATTTGAGTGTCTTAGCTCTTGCTGCTATAACAAAATACCATAGCCTGGGTAGCTGAAACAACAAACATTTATTTATCACAGTTCTGGAGGTTGAGAAGTCCAAGATCAAGGTGCCGATTCCTGCTGAGGGAATCTTCCTGGCTTGCGGATAGCCACCTTCTTGCTCTGTTGTCACGTGGCAGAGAGCGAGAGAACTCTGGTCTCTCTTCCTCTTGTAAGGACACTGATCCCATCTTGGGGGCCTCACCCTCATGACCTCAGGTAAACCTACCTTCCAGAGGCCCTGTCTCTAAATACTGTCACACTGGGGAGTAGGGCTTCACCGTACGAATTTGGGATGGGGGCTGGGGGCGGGAATTATAATTCAGTCTGTAGCGTAGGTTTCTTGGAAGTTTTGTTATTATGTGGAACTCCTCCAAAATAGACTTGATACAGAACTAAATAGGAAACTGTAAAATTAGAGTTTATATGGCTTTCACTAAAGCAAAGTTAACGCAGTTAATAAGAAATATGATTCAGAGACCAGTTGATGAAAGGGAGAAATTTTAATTGTTTCATTTTGATGAAAGAGAAATCGCTGTGATTCTCTTTTCACTTTTAGGCCTCATAGAGTTGTCCCATTTTAGAGGGCATAAGGACTGTGGCAGTGATCTATTTTCATTCTCTCATTGTCTGATGAGAGGGCTGAGCCCCCCAGAAGCTAAGTGACAAACATGTCTCAGAAATTAGTGGCAGAACAAGGATTAGAATCAGGCCCCCTGATTTATAGGCTAGGCTTTCTGCTCTTTGAAGCATCAATAGTTCTCAAATTTAAGGTGCATCAGAGCCACCTGGGGCCCTTGTGAAAACACAGATGCTGGGCATCACCCAGGGGCTCTGATTCAGCAGGCCTGCGCTGGGACTGGGAATTTGCGCTCCTGACAGGTGCCTGGGTGATGTTGAAGCTGCTGGCTCTGAGGCCACACTTCGGGAACCCTGGCCTCACGTGATGTTGCCTTTGATCTCTCATAAGAGGAGAGTAAGTAAACCTCTGCAGGTTTTACCCGCCTAACCTTTTCCCTGGTACTCAGAGAATCAAGTTTTTAAATTTTGTATCACAAACAGTAATGCATAAACAACATATGATTAGATGAAAAATAAAAAAGGACTGGAAATGGAGTATTTCTCAGCGTCATTTTGGCATATTCAAGGGTAATTTTTGGAGACAATTCTAGTGGTCAGAGCCACTTACTATTGAAGGGGCTACACATGAGCTGTGAGAGCTCTCAGTCTTACCAACATTCACACTGAAAAGCGTGTCCAGGTTGATTGCTAGGTTGTATGGGAGTAAAAAATTACTTCCATCTTTGTTTTTCTATGCTTTTCTGTGTTGTTTTGTGTACTAAAATGTTCTTTTCTTACATATCAAAATCTTATCGGGCCCAAGCACAGATTGTATGCCTGTAATAGATATTGAAGAAATGTAAGTTGAATTAAAAAAGAGTAAGGGGGAAAGTAAGGTAGGTCATTTACCTGGAAAGTTACTCCGCTCTCTAGATGATCCCAGTCTTGGGCATTTATTGAATAATTGTCATTTATTCCAGTTTATACCTTAGTTGCAATTATTGGAATTTTTTTTAAGCATAGTTATTGGAGGAGGTAGCTAGCATATTTTTATGTTAGAGTTAATGAGCGATCCCCATACCTTTTTATCTTGCATCTTAAATGATTTTTAAAAACTTTTTACTTTGAAATAATTTTGGAATTACAAAAAAATTTCAAAAATAGTCCAGATAGTTCTATATATCTTCTAACCAGATCTCTTTGTTAACACATTATGTAACTGTAGTGCAGTTACCAAAACCGGGCAGTTGATACAATTAATCTAAAGACTGGATTTGAGTTTCACCACTGCTGTGCTTTTTCTGGTTCAGCATCCAATCCAATAGCCCACATTGCATTTAGTTATCATGCCTCTGTAGTCTCTTCCAATCTGTGACAGTTCCTTTTAGGTTTATATTCCATGACCTTGATACTTCTGAGGAGTACTGGTCAGTTATTTTGTAGAATGTTAGTGGGTTTGAATTTGTGTCATGTTCTTTCAGGATTAAATTGAGGGTTAGGCATTTTTGGCAAGAATACCACAGCGGTGAAGTTTGCCCTCAGTGCATCGCATTGGAATGCACGTGATGTAGATATATTTTATCAGTGGTGAATGTTAACTTTGACCTCTTGGTTGAGGTGATGTCTGACATATTTCTGTGCTCTAAGATTAAACATTTTCTCTTTGTAATTAATGACCCTCCTAATTTGCCTGATTTTGGTGCAAAAGTTTAAAATAAGTGAACATCTAATGTCAGAATCCTTTGAACCTGACCCTAACTGTGGAATACTTCTTATCTTGGGAGGCTTCAGTACTATTTGTTAGACTCAAACATAGCTGGAAAGGGTAGAGGTTTCACTGCTGGAAGAACAATTATTTGCTCAAGAACTTGTACTTGATCTCGGGCAGTATTCGTCTTGAATTGGCAACAGTGGAAGCTGTTTGTCTGAATTGTTTTGCTTTGGTTCTGTGACCTGTCTCACATGTGTCTTCCAGCGCACGACTTTCCATAATTGTGCTGCATTTCTTAAGAATTCTCCCTGGAGCATTTAGGAGATGGATGCACTTCAGTTCATCACCAGGCAGTTGCTCCTGGTATCCCACTGCTTACCCACTTGCTAGCCGATGGGGCTGGGGCACGTGTTTTCCTTGCTAATGGAATTGCTGGCTATATTACACATATAAATTATCTCTATTTCCGAAATGCGTGTGCCTTTAATATCCCAGCCTGAGTCAGTTGGAAGATACAAACCTGGTTTGTCTCCTCCCAGTGCCTGTAAGCTCCTTGGAGGCAGGGGACAGATCCCTCTTTCTGTTTACTCAGTAACTTGCTTGGTACCTAGCACATAGAGGCACTCAATAAATATTTATGAGTAAATAAATGTTGTTTGTGCATCTTGTTAAGTGTTTTTATAAGCTACCGGAATACCGTGATCATTTCCCCCTGTCAGTACAGCTCTGTAATCTGCACAGTATTGCAGTCTATGGATGTGCCACGGCGGCTTCATCTTTAAGCGGTACCTCACTGCTGGATACTAGTTTGTTCCCAGTTTTTTCTAATGTAAAGAGTTCCTTGGTGCATATCCTTAAACACATATTTTGTCTGGTTATTTCTTTAAGGTAAATTCTGTAAAGCGTCACTGATAGCTCAAAGAAGATACACATTTTAAGGTTTCTGATATATAATTTGTAAAATTACCCTCTTGAAAGGTTGTATAGATTTATATCCTAACCAGTACTATTGAGAATGCACATTTTCCCACACTTTCCCCAATG